GGCTACTTTTCCCGGGCTATGGTGTGTTATGAATAGCCCCTGACCTACTGATGGACTATGAGCCTCCTCTACATACACTCGGCAGTTTTTTTTAAGAACTTTGCCCCACATTACGATATTCTCCTGTGTCGTGGGTGCCTTTACAAACAAACAAGTTCAACAAGAACAACAATTTGTGGATCACACAAAGAGTTGTTCCGGGCGAGAATCGAAATCGACCCCCGACGAGTTGCGTGACAGACGGATGCCCAGCCACAACACTAACCGTGTTGTCCAAAAGTTAAACCAACAGAGGCTTCAGTAGAACCTAATTGATTTAACGTTCTTTACTACCTGATCGAAATTAGCTGGATGTCCACAGTTATCCTTTTAGAGACGTAATATTAAGTTGCTTAAATACATTCGGTAAAATATTATAACAACATTATGATACATATTTATAAGAAAAATATTGTTTAAAACGTAAACACAACATCCCTAATTCCTAACGTATCATAAACATCATAATTTATACTATACTACTCAAAATAAAATAAAGGGCCACTGTTTTTAGGCTTTTATATATTCCTATTGCCTTCTTAAACACAAAAAATTAAAACATATTGACTACATAAAGAAATACTTTAATTTAGTAACCATGTCTTGGGTTACTCGAAGACTAATTCACTGTCAAACACCAAGCAGTCACCGGTGACCGCAACCTATTGTTCTATAATTGTGTCTACAAAACCGGTACTCGACGAGTTAATAAGTATATGAACTTTGTGGTGGCCACGATGGTGACCCTTATTATGTTTTAAGTAGTATACTCAGACCATGATTATTGTACAAAATTGATTCGAACAAAACCAAACACGAAAACGAATCTGTTACTATTTGCACAACTTATCAAAACAAACATGTCGTATCAATTTTACAGAGTAAACAGTCGTGTTAAACTGACAGTCGCTAGTCGTTGCTAATGCGCGTGCGCAGTTGCTATGCAAGTAGAGAGAGTGAGACAACGTTGAAGCGTCGTCGGTGCATCATTCAAATTAATGTTAGCAGTAAATCGTATGATCTTTGAAGTGAATTATGTATTTTAAAGGCAAGGATAGATTGGTTCATTGTTATTGTTATGGCGATAAGGTTTCAATTAATCGTTAATTTGTAAAATAAATATACTTAAGTAATGACTAGATTTGTATTTATTTAAGGGCATCAAATATTTTTGTAGTGTTCTTAGTTTTTGAGCATTTTCTTTAAAAGTGAATACCAGTAATAATCGATTCTGAAATAATGATGAAATTTACTGAGTCAGCACAGCACATTTTCAAACCATATTTTAATCAATCAATCTCCAATTCTCCAACGCCAAAATTCAATTTTTTGTAGAAACCATTTCAAAATTCAACCTATATTACATCACTATCTACAACATAGAAGTAATTAACTCCAAATTTTCCATTGATGTCCGTAACGTAAACTATATACAATCTATCTTCGCCTTACATTGCGCGCGCGCCAGTCGACTGGACGTGCACACATGCGCACTGTTGCTACGCTGAAACTGGAACGAATAGTTATCAGTCGCTGCATTAATCTCGTTGCTTATTATGCAGTTGTTAACTGTTATTGTTAATAATGTGATGTGGGTATAAGTAGGGATTGTCTGTGACTGCTCTTACGGTTATTTACGGTCGGTATCAAAAGTTGATAAACACATTTAGATTTTCAAAATCGCTGTACACCATATTACCTAAATCGGTGAACATGACAAACGTCAGAAGTAACATAACATAACATCACGCCTTTTTATACCCGAAGAGGTAGGCAGAGGTGCACATTTCAACACTTCATGCCACTGTACAATGTAACACCCACTTTTCAATATTTATGTTATGAGTCCCATGTAATAGGGGGTGAGCCTATTGCCATACACCGGGCACATTTCCAGACTCCGTGCTACTACTGAGATTTTTAAAAACCCTGTAAATCTTTGCCCCAAGTACTTATGTTTTGTTTTTTTGCTTCTTATTGGCAACCGAGTAAATAAATAATTAGCTTGTATTGCATTTAGTGTGCTTGACATGTTCGCCGATTTAGGTATAATACGGTGTACAGCGATTTTGAAAATCTAAAAGTATCAACTTTTGATGCTGACCGTACCTATGTATAATTAATAATTTAGCTTCATTTTACTCCCGCTGATCATTTTTTGCAAAAGAGTAACCTATCATTATAGGTATGAAAAGACGACAAACTTGGTTCAATTAATGAATACTGACCTTATTGACTTTAAAAGAGACGGACATTTGAGTTTGTTCCAGTATTTCTTCTCAGAGTAGTCAAAGGAAATATCGACCTCATCGTTGGCTTAAAAAATTAACGTTTAAAAGTGCTGCATCGTAGCCTTTTGTACTGAAATGTTTTCTTTTTCTGTAGGTACGTACAACGCGCATGATCAGAATTTGTTAATCAGATTTTTTTTAAACCTTGCCACACTCTAGGTTTATCTCCTATGTCGTGGGTGCGTTTACAAACATACAAGTTCACATTATAGAGGTACATGACACCCAGACCTATGTTACCTTACTTTTATCTCGAAGTAGAGATGCCACGAACACTTGGGTTTATGCAGTTAGAAATCGTACAGTAAAAGTGTTGAATCTATATTGAAACAAATTATACCTCTACAGGTACCTTGTGTTTCAATAATACAATGCACATACTTTTACTAACGCAACGTGATGTGGTCCAATTTTTAACACTCGATCTACAAAACTCCTAAAATCTTTATAGAGAATCGGGTTAAACCAACATACTGCTATTATTGTGGAAGCTTCCTAGCTGGACCCTCGCCAAGTGGAAGGAATCTTAAAGAGATTAAATAGATTCAACTTCATTCCTTTTATTCTACGAAGGTATAGATAGATAATAATATCTACTGCTTCCAGTTTCTTACCGAATTCCATAATAACCATCGGAATATCATTAACTAGGCTTTTAACGAACCTTTTGTTGAAAACCCAGGATCAATTCCAATTAAAAAATTTAAACATAAATAATAAATAAGGTAGATGCCTAATTTTTATTTAAATGTCCGTCTGGTAGATTATTTCAAATCATTAGACACATATTTTTTACTTTCTTACAGAAACGAATACTTTCGACGATATATTGATTTGAAATGTCGCGTAACGTCACTTCTATGTACATTTTATATACGTAGAAATAACGCTTTAGCCCCCACTCCTAAACTTTGATTCGTTTTATCTAAGTATTGTTTTATTATACGACAAAATAAAAAAAATGTGTGTAATACTTTTTCATAACCTAAATTACGGACTAATTAGATTTTTAATGTTCATACCCTGTCATCATTCCAATTGCTCATTACAGCTCCCAGATTGATTGGTCAAACAAATATTATTTTAGTCATGACAAGAATGGACTCAGAAGGCCAAGTTCATATTTGTTTTTCTTTAGATTGTACACAAAATATATCGAAATACAACTGACTCATGATTTGTTATGACAGTCGTCTAAATTGGGATGGGAATAGGAGATCTTCTTGTCAACAAGTTGCTTAAGTGCCCTATTCTACTGAGAGGTCATGATCATAGGAACGGTCGCGGAACTATTGTATCTTCAGAGTCTCCGGAGCAAACATTATCGAAATTTGTTAGAATATGCAGGTTTGGAACGCAACCATTTTAGTTCGTATTTCTGTCACTGGTGTCGCTCTCTCTCTGTTTGAATCTCTCATGTAAACGGTCGTACGAAATAAATTACTAAAGTATTCTGTGTAAATATTTCTTTTATTACTACATCCACGCTAAAATCCCTTAATTAAATGGTTACTTAACGCAGTTCTTAACAATTGTTATCGGAACAAACTATAGCTAAAGAGAGTACCCTACGGCAGTTACGCATATTCTTTTCCACTAGGGAACCTTTGAATGATACAATGAGGGTCTGTTATGCCGACCTATCACCTCAGTGATCCCTTTTCTTTCCAGCTATTGCTATTTTTCATACATAACTTTTAACGTATGTATATCAAAGCACATGTCTCTGTCTATTCATCATCAACAGCCTATAAATGCCCACTGCTGAGCAAAGCCTCTTCTCACACGGAGAAGGTTTGAGCATTAATCACCACGCTTGCTCAATGCGGGTTGGCGATTTCGAACTTATAATTAGAAATTATAAGTCCAGGTTTCCTCACGATGTTTTTCCTTCACCGTTTGTCAATGGTGTCTAAATAATCTTAGAAAGTACATATAACTCGGAAAGTCACATTGGTACTTGCCGTTGGTAGGTTTCGAACCCGCACCCTCATACATGAGAAGCGGGCGTCTTAAACCTCCGGACCACCACGACTTTGTCTATTACCGAAGTTAAAAGATATTTTTATCAAAATATTTCCCTTTAATACTTATATTTATATCAACACCAAAGAGCTCTTTGAAGTTCAGTTTAAATATTATAGTAGCTAGCTACCTGTCCTGTATCTTAAGTGGCTCATTTTGTAGATTTATATCTAGTATCTACCTACAAATTATTTTTATCTCAGAATTTTATATATATTTCTCGTGTATTTTATAAGAAAATGGTTAATCAATTTAGACGTTTTATTTATTTATTTACTTATTAAGTAAAAGTAATGTTCAAAAGGATCTTACGAACGTTTTCTTAAAGCCCGGATAATGAATTAGGCGGCTATTGTGAGGCAGTGAGGATCTTTATATTGCCCGTGATGTTTCAATTCTTATTATGAAAATTAATTTAAAACACATTACGCCTTAATTTATGACACGACTGCAAACATTAGTAGAGACGGTAGTATCTTATTCTTCTTCTCTTCTTCTTATTTGGTTGCAATGAAAACATCAATTCAATAAAGCCTTCCCGGCGCGTCCTAACTAGTCCCAAAGACATAACTAGCTAGATCCCGCAGCAAAATATATCAGAAGATATCTTTCCCTGCCTAAATAACAAATTCTATCCTATTTCAGATCCTGCCCTACATAGACGGGTTCAACCACGTGTCTAAGATCGCAGCCCTGACGGACGTGGAAATCAGTTTGGTGCGCGCCTGTGTTCAGAACCTCGTCTACTACGGAGTGGTCACGCTGGTGCCCATCTTTCAGTACTGTGCTGTGAGTAATCTCACTTCTTATTACGAACTAAATGACTGGAAGTTTTTTTTTTATGGGATAAGCAATCGGCGCCGCCCATGGACGCCTGAAATACCAGTGCGTGGATGAGGATTGTGGAGAATTCGGGAATTGGGGAGACTGGGAAGGAGGGGTAATTGGGCCGCCGGTAAACTCACTCACACGGAGAAACACAACGCAAGCGTTGCTTCACGTCGGTTTTCTGTGAGGCCGTGATATCACTCCGGTCGAGCCGGCCCATTCGTGCCAAAGCATGGCTCTCCCACACTTAAGTCCCTGTACGAAACGTGTGTGCCTTATAGTATATAAAAAAGATTTTGTGTAGACAACGCGTTTGTAAGCTCTTAGGAGTCCTGGCTTAAATAATTTTCTACAAATCTTTTATCGAAGTTTCTTGTGATATTTCAGGTGTACAGCGCGACCCCGAAGTTAAGGCAGCTCACTCGGTGCGCGGGGCTGCAAAGACAGTGTGTCGAATTCTGCGCACGGACTCGTAAGTAGAAATTTCGTTTTGAGAAAACTGCTGGTCTCTTATAAACAAAGCCTGGGAGTGCAATAGGAATATGTACTTTGAATTAAGTTAATAAACATCATCCATCCTTTTATTTGGGCTCATTACCTGAAGTAGAATACAGTGATGTACTCATACATACTCGAAAACATAGAGCTTTATATTCTCTCCATCCAACTGTCGAACTTCCCAGACAAAAATTAATTAAATTCTGTATTTTCTACCTTCAACATGAAATACAAAGACAATCCAATATTAACCCCTCAGTTTTCCATTTTCAGCTCGCCAGCTGCCGAAAGTGAGCGACATATTCCGAATGTACGCGGGCATGTCGTACGGCAGCACCATTAGAGATCTCTGTCGGAGGATGAAGCCGCAGGAGCTGGCCATCAACGAGAGGAAACTCGTACTCTTTGGGGTACTAGAAGGACTGATTAGAAGAGTGTATAAGGTAAGGAAATTGTAGCTTATTATCTAACTGCAACAGATCGTGTGGTGATGGTAGAGGACCACAAGAACATATTATTGGCCGAAATTAATAACCAATTGATCCACAATCTCTAGATTGGTCTAAGTTTTTGGCAGAATATTTCATATAACTGATGGTCAAAAATTAATTTTGGCCGTAAAGGAAGACTGGGCAGCATCGCACTATGATGAACCTGAGGCTTTTAAACCACAATTCAACATGTAGAGAAGGTCACATAATCCAGCATTGGACATAACAACTCGTGATATGAAATTATGGGACTGTCCAAGGGTCCTGGGCGTTTATTCTTTAAACCTATCTCAATGTCGATGCAATTTTAATCCTATACAAAATTACACAACCCCAATCGTAGATGTTAAAATAGCATTCAGAGTACGGAACATACAGCCAAACTCAATACCATTTAGTTCATTCAATATCCACGGAATACGGATGCAGTAGGCGCTAGTGTTGCAACTCAAGGGTCCGAAATTTCCCAATGGCAATGTTGATCGATCAGAATTGGATTCAAGTGTAAGCTCTTCAGGGGGCAATCATTTACAATCTTTTTGATATCTTAAAATTTATGTTTCAAAAAAGAAATTTAATATTAATTTAAATTATCCCACATTTCAGTTCCCAATAACTCTTCACAACGACGACTCAGCGTCTATTATAAGTGACCACAGCCAACCACTCGTGCGCACGTACAACGGCCTGGTCTGTCTCGACGAACTATGCTGTCAAAGCGGCCTGTCAGCACTGCAGATTGAAGAACAGTTAGAAAGAGACAGCAACGTCATCTTCATAGTGAAATGAAAGAGATGGCAAGCTTTTTGTCTTTTACTACTACTAATGGGAGCTCTGTGAGCAAAATGGTCATTGGTCATAATTATATCGAATGAGCCTTTTGACGTTTTTATGAGGAATTTGTTATCTGTGAAAGGTAATTAAGGTGTTCCTGTAGTAAGACTTTTAGTCAGGAAAAAATATCTGCTCGACTTGACTTGTAATTTTCAACCTTATGGGCCGTTGATAGGGTTCTAAATGCTTTTGAATACGATATCTATGTCACACTTGAAGAGTCAGTGTGACAGTCTTTATAGGTTTGATTGAATAATATTGGAAACTTGCGACATAATTATTAAAAAAAATTAAACTTATCTACAGGATTTTTTAATAATTGCGCTTGTTTACTCAATTGCGTATACGCATAACCTATAATATGATTAAAAATAATTATCTAAATATACGTATTTCATATAGACGAATCCGTGGATGAAAAGCTAGTATATGTTTTTATTATTGTATTGTATGTGTATATTATATTAAGTACTGTAAAAAGAAGGTATGTATTTAATTCTTGTAAAACTAAAATTAGAGTATAGTTGTCTTCTTCTAAATATAAGAGCGAAAAAAGGACAGCAATACTTTAATTCTATGATGATGTACGAATTTGGACTCTATTATGTTTATGTATAAAGAGTATATTCGCAAACCAATGTCAATTTTATTAAATAATGTCAATGACTTAAGTAAAAAATTCAACTTTTAAATTAAAAAAAAAAAGAAACAACGAATGAATTGTAAAAGAAAAACATTTAATATTCTAAATGATACGAGAAGAAGGAATCTATGAAAATTGTTAACTACTTCTACCTATCAAAGTTTTTTTTTATTGGGGCAACCCCGCCACAGCCTTCCGAAACCGCTGCAACTCCTGTAAGCCAGAATCTACTGTAGATACAACTATGAAACAGTAGGTATAAAGTTAAGCTATGTTCAAATAATGTTATAAAAAAGTATAATGTTAAGTTAAGAGATTACTTAAGTCATTGATCTACATTTTATTAATTTAAAGGTAATGAGTATAGTCTACCAACGTAACATTTTCTATTCTACTATGAAGCAAAAATAAATCTTATTGTTCTATAATAAACAGACGATTATCAACTTTAACTGCTAAAATAAAAGAGATGTTTTATCTTGTCAGAAGTAGATGTAGTTTTGTAAATATGTAAATGAAATTAACGACTTTATTATAATCTGTATAAAAAATATATATTTCTGTAAATCTATGCAATTTTGTACCCTACTCGTAAGGTTTTTAAGACGATTTTTAAATAACCATACTTTATAAACATATTACCTTTATATTTAGAAAGCTAGTTATTCTATTTTTAAATTACATCGTAAACGGTTTTACTATAGAATTTAATACAATTTCTCGGGGATAGTACAAATTCGCGGAAGTAGCGTTGGGTAATTCCTCGTATCTACGAATGTAGCTAATTCAAGTTTTCTCGGCAAAAATCCCGCAAAATCATAATTGGTTGTCACCGCCTTGACACGAGTTCATTTCGACATAACCTAACATCAGGCCGTTAATCACCGAAGGAGTAGGCAGAGGTGTGCATATTACGGCACTTAAATGCCACTGTACAATGTAACACCCACTTTTCAATATTCATTTTATATGAGTCCCATGTATTATGGGGTGAGCCTATTGGCATATACCGGGCACAATTCCAGACTCCGTGCTACCACTGAGAATTTTAAAAACCCAGTAATACTTTGCCCGATTCGGGAATCGAACCCGAGACCCCTATTTTTAATATATAAAAATTAGCTTCAATTCATTAAATTAATAAAGTAATTAAGTTTTAACCTCCCCTGTAAAACGGAATCCATTACGTATGGTAGATTCGCGGATTTGCACAATCCCCGACGAATTGTCTATACATAGGCCAAGATCTATTTAAAATATTTGTCAGTAAACAATAAATAGCGAGAACTACATCTCATCAATGGGACAACCGTTTTCTTGTTCACTAGATGGGGCTAGTGTGAACCTTTCGCCTTTACCCCCAATAGAGTTAGCTAGTATTGTACACCATTGAATCTTCAAGTTGTGACAGCTTCAGTGATTGGACAATCAGATCTCTTTTTAGATTAGCGCCATCTATTGAATAAGTTCTATTCGGTGTGACCAGTTGGAGTACTTGTAATCATCTTTATGGTATGTTTTCAAACATTTCCCCTCGATCTTGGCCTAAGTTAAAGTTATACATATAGCCGTTCTAAAGAGCGTCTACTTTAATTTTTATAATGTTCATAAGAAACTGCTCAATATTCTTAGTTATAGAAATATTTTTATATACCTACGTTTGTTTTTTAAAGTTTATCAATTGTACATAATGCCCATCAATCCGTAAAGGTGCTAATAAATTAATAATATTTAAAATGTATGCAAGCCTAATTCTGTTGTAAAAGTTTAAAAAACCAAAGAAAAAATGGTATGACTGTGTTGCAATGTGAAAAAAAATATTTAATTTGGGTATTTTTTTAATTATTCGGTTACAGATTTTGATTGTTACATATTATAAAAGTACACTCATTTAATGCAATTTGTTTGATAATTGTGTTTATAAATAATTTGTAAAAACATGATCTATGTATATATACACGTAATATAAACTGCGTATGTGCTCACTATAAAAACAAGTTAAAAAACCATTTAAACGATTTTTATTGCGTTCGTTTTATACAATTTAAAGGGCCATAGTGTTTTTTTTCGTTCGTTCGATGTACATATATCAGTATTTAATGATATACAACATTGAATGCGATCGAGCCCTCATTAAATGTGGAAAACCCACCGACAGTGTTCTTATAAACATAACGTAATGAAATTAGGGAACTGGAGCTTACCTTACCACGAGTTTCTTTTGCGTTGGTAATCAAAACAAGACCGCGGTCTGCGCATTGATTGGTTGGTACATTAGAGCCGTCCAATTAGAGGGCCGAACGCATCGAACTCGTACTTAGCCCTCTGAGCACGTTAATTTAAATTTTGAATACCTTCATAATGTGTAATTTATCTCTACATTGGCAAAATTATACTTTAATTAATATATAAACTGCGCCGAGCTTTTAACAAAAGACTATGGGTTTTAAAAAATAAACCGCAATTCGGCAAAAGCTCTGATACAGACGTTTATAGGCAGTTTAACCCAAATAATTACTAAGTCTTTAAAAATACCTAAAACATATTTACATTTAGTGGCGTCTAGTCGTGTTTAGTGAAATAATCTGTATATTTGTTGATTGTATGCTTTCTATAGACTACGACCGGTTATAGTCAGTTTAATCCGGTTATTATATTATTATTATTATCTCTTGTAAGCTTACATTGTTTTTAAGGCGTGTTTAGTATGTTGTAACCAAAAAATGTGACGAATTAGTTTTATTATTGTACAGATGATTTAAACGTGACTTCTGAATAGTCTGAATTATTTTAGGAATGTATTATTTTGTGTCGAAATATATGTATACAAAACTTCACTCTTTAACTCCATCAGTCGTCTGAACACGCCAAAACTAGTCAGGATTCTTTTGTGCCTTATTTCTTGTATATTTGAAATTAATTTTTAATCGATGCATAATATTAGTTTGTATTTTACCATAATCGTTGTTATTTTTAAGAGATTATCACCATGTGCTGTTGTATTCATGTTTAATTTAAGAAGGAATTGACGCTTGCAAACCGACCTTTTTCAAATTGTCATTTTTTTTATTTATTTTGAACTTTTTTGTAACAAAGTCGTACATTTGTGAAAGAATCGTTGACAAATTGTCTCTGGTTGGTATGCTAACCTATACAATCTGTAACAACTCCAAAAAAGCGCGGGAATTTGACTACAGTTAAAAAAAATATATGTTGATTTTTGACTTCCATATTTGTAATCATTATTTTGTAATTACCTAACTAGCATTTTGGATACATGTGTAAGTTTAAGTACATTAATGTTAATTTCTATGTTATGTTATCTACTCATTAAAATGATTATTATTTTTATAAACCTGTTTTTATTTTTTGATCTAACCTTGGAATGGGCCCTTTTATAAAGTCAAAGTATTTATTAGTGTGCTTTTTGGTGATATAATAGGTCTTACATTTTTGTTATGGCATAAGCCCACAGATATAGATATATCTGTGCATAAGCCGGTAAATGAGCAGACGGATCACCTGATGGTAAGCAATCGGCGTCGCCCATGGACACCTGGAACACCAGAGGCGTTACAGGTGCGTTACCGGCCTTTTGGAGATTAGGAGTTTGAGGAACGTTGGGGATTCAGGAATTGGGGAGATTGGGGAAGGGGAGGGTAATTGAGCCTCCGGTAACCTCACTCACACGACGAAACACAACGCAAGCGTTGCTTCACGTCGGTTTTCTGTGAGGCCGTGGTATAACTTCGGTCGAGCCGGCCCACACTCAAAATTCTTAAATTAACATTTATTATTATAGTAGCGCAAAAACCTGCCCATTAGGCATACACAATTTAAAAGTAAAAAAGTATTCATCACCACCAAATCATTAAACATATTGAATACATAACATAACATAACAAACATCACGCCTTTTATCCCCGAAGGGGTAGGCAGAGGTGCACATTATGTCACTGTACAATGTAACACTCACTTTTCACTATTTATGTTATGAGTCCCATATAATAGGGGGTGAGCCTATTGCCATATACTGGGCACAATTCCAGATTCCGTGCTACTACTGAGATTTTACTACCGACCCAGTAATTACTGAGATTTTAGTACCGACAGCCTTCATACATCATCGGCAAACACAGCAACTTCGATGAGATCAAACAGTTTAACAATGTCGTTTATATAGATGATAAATGGTAATGGGCCGAGCAAAGAACCCTGCGGAACTCCACTGGGGTCAGGAACCCAACCAGACATATAATTACTGCTTGGGCCCTGTTTCTCAGATACGAGGAAAACCATTTGAGCAGATCACCACATATTTCCACATAATTCATCTTAAATAGTAATATTTCGCTTTGAATCCGATCAAAGGTCTGTCTAAACGGCATCGACCTGCCCACCCCCGTCCATGGCATCAGTAATGAAATCATTAAGAAGAATTAAGTTAGTGACGGTGGACCTTCCTTTCAAAAAACCGTGTTGGAAAGAACTAAAAGAGTTATTGAGCGCACTATATACCTGATTATAGATAATATTACATCTATATATCTATATCTATATATATAAATAAAAATCAATTTCCGTTCGTTAGTCTCGCTAAAACTCGAGAACGGTTGAACCGATTTGGGTAATTTTGGTCTTGAAATGTTCGTGGAAGTCCAGGGAAGGTTTAAAAGGTGAAAGAAAAAACATTAATAGGCGGTACGAAGTTTGACGGGTCAGCTAGTAAACAGATAATATTAGTAATTAATTATTCTAATTTTCACTCCGTTTTTGTGAATCGGTATTATAAATGCCGATTTTCAAATTTTGGGCACAATGCAAAAATCTAGAGATTCCTAAATAGACTATAATTTAAAGTGTGGGAGAGCCATGCTTCGGCACGAGTGGGCCGGCTCGACCGGAGTGATACCACGGCCTCACAGAGGACTGACGTGAAGCAACGCTTGCGTTGTGTTTCGTCGTGTGAGTGAGGTTACCGGAGGCCCAATTATATATTTACCTTCCCTTTCCCCAATCTCCCCAAT